GATAAATCGAAATTCTTACATTGTCTTCTAATCAAGGATATATTTTAATCAGCCTGAGAGAGAGACTTGGGAGCTCTGCTAGGTTTAGATATTTGACAAGGGGAGCCAGGACTCTCGATCAAAATGATAGACTCATGAGAGACTATGGACTCTGAGAAACAAATAGGGTTTTAGAGGGGAGGGGGGATTGGTTAGCCCAGTGATGGGTATTAAGGAGGGCACGCACTGCATGGAGCACTGGGTGTTATACGAAAACAATGGATCGTGGATCACCACATCAAAAACTAATGATGTATTGTATGGTGACTAACATAACATAACAAAATTAAAATAATAATAATAATAATAATAAAAGATAGACTCCACAATTCTGCACTTTACTGTAGAAGGGACAATGTACAAGTTGAATTTAAAAATCAAAGAGTAACAGACTTAGTGATTAAAGAAAACCTTACTGTTTGTTATGGGTTGAATTGTGCCCCCCCAACACATATATCACACACACACACACACACACACACACACACGTTGCAGTCCTAACCTCCAGAACTTCAGAATATGACCTTATTTGGAAATAGGGTCTTTACAGAGGTAATCAAGCTAAAATCAGATCATTATGGTGGGCCCCCATCCAACATGACTTCTATCCTTAAAAAAAGAGAAAAAAATGGAGACAGACCCACACAAGGCGAACACCTTATAAACACGAAGGCTGAGATCAGAGTAATGAGTCTACAATCCCAGGAGAGAGGCCTGGAACATATCCTTCCCTCACAGCCCTCAGAAGGAAATAATCCACTGACATCTTGATTTTGGACTTCTAGACTCCAGGATTGTGAGACGTTTCTTTACCCATTGTGTTCACAGATTAGAAGACTCATATTAAAATGTTAGTTCTTGGGGCACCTGAGTGGTGTAGTCGGTTGAGCATCTGACTCTTGGTTTCAGCTCAGGTCATGATCTCAGGGTCGTGAAATTAAGCCCCACCTCCAGCTCCGCGCTCAGCACAGAGTCTGCTTGAGATTCTCTCTCCCTCTCCCTCTTCCCCTCCTGCTCGTTCTCTCTCTTTCTCTCCCTAAAATAAATAAATAAATCTTTAAAAAAATAAAACAAAATGTTAATTCTCTCCACATTGATTTACATATTCAATGTAATACCAATAAAAATCCCAGCAGAAAGTTCTGTAGAAATTGACAAAATGATTGTCAGATATGCATGAAAAGTAAAAAGGACAATGTTAGCAAAAATATTTTGAAAGGACTAACAAATTTGAGGAACTAACACTACTGATACTAAATTGTTTTTATGAAGATATAATTGAGAAATTATAGGATTGATGTAAAGATAGACAAATATAACATTGGAACAGAATAAAAGGTTCAGAAACAGACTCACATGTATAAAATCAGTTGATTTTCAATAAAAGTACCATAACAATTCAATGAGAAAAAAATAATCTTTTTAACAAATCATGCTTGAACAGTTGACAGCCATATTCAAAAATATAAACTTTAACCCCTAGCTCACATTGTATAAAAATTTGACTCCAAATAGATCAGAGATCTAAATGAGAGGGCTAAAACTATGAGCTTCTAGAATAAAACATTGGGGAAAATCTTAGATACCATGGGTTTGGCAAAGATTAATTAATTATGACACAAAAGATATATAACATAAGATTTCAAAAATCTACACAAATTAAAAATAGAACTACCATATGATCTAGCAACCCCATTTCTGGGTATATAAACAAAGGGATTGAAATCAAGATCTCAAAGATATTTGTATTCCCATATTCACTGCAGCATTTATTCACAATAGCCAAGACATGTTAGCAACCTAAATGTCCATTGACAGATGAATGGATAAGGAAAATGTAGTGTTTACATACAGTAGAATATGATTCAGCCTTTAAAAAAAAGAAGAAAATCCTGCCATTTGTGACAACATGGATGAACCTGGAAAACATGCTAACTGAAGTAAGCCAAACACAGAAGAGCAAATACTACATGATCCCCTTATATGACAAATCTAAAATAGTCAAATTCATAGTAGCAAAGGATAGAATGGTGGTTACTGGGGTTGGGGGAAGGAGAAATGGGGAGATGTTGGTCAAATGGTATAAAGTTTCAATTATGCAAGATGAATATATGCTAGAGATCTACTGTACAGCACAGTGCCGATAGTTAACAATATTATTTTTTTATTTAAAGATTTTATTTATTTATTTGACAGAGAGAGGGAACACAAGCAGGGGGAGTGGGAGAGGGAGAAGCAGGCTTCCCCCTGAGCAGGGAGCCCGATGCAGGGCTCAATCCCTGGACTCTGGGATCATGACATGAGCCGAAGGCAGATGCTTAACGACTGAGCCACCCAGGTGCCCCAGTTAACAATATTGTATTGTATACTTTAAAATTTGCAGGGGCACCTGGCTGGCTCAGTTCAGTAAAGCATGCAACTCTTGATCTTGTGGTTGTAGGTTTGAGTCCCACATCGGGTATAGAGATTACTTTAAAAAAAATAAAATCTTTAAAATAAAATTTGCTAAGAGTGTAGATCCTGTGTTAAGGGTTCCTATCACAAAAAATAAAATTTTAAAAATAGATAGTAGGAGGAAAACTTTGGAGGAAAATGGCATTAATTGTGATGAGAGGTTCACAAAAATAGACTTGTCTCCAAACTCATCTAGTTATATACATTAAATATATACAGCATTTTGTATGTCAATCATATCTCAATAAAGTGGGTTTTTAAAAAATCAGTACTCACTTTCTTTTAATTACAAAGGGGAAACTGTTTCAAGCATGCAAAAGTAACAAGATATTTTTGATATCCGATAATAAATACCATACTCGTTGCAATAAATAAATGTACCTCATGTATATAAGTTAATTCTAGACGTCATCCATTATTCAGTATTTCTCAGCCTGGCCAAAAGGTGGCAGTGTTCAAAAGTATTTGAGTTTAGGTTTGCAGTGCTGGAGGAACAGGAAACCAGGTCTGGTCTCTCTGATTGGTGCAGTGTCCTGCACCAGTGAGACCCCACTGAGCTCAAGTAACCTGTGCTGGGGAAGCTCATTTGAGAACGCTGGATTGGGCTGTCTTCTGAGGAACCAGAGGATGGAGACTCTCTTGCAAGTACTCATAGGGATATTAGAGTTGCAGGCAGCCTGTAAGTATGGGGTTAGTCTAGGAGAGTCAGGAGAGGCTGACAGCTCCCTGAGGGCAAGGACTGAGTCATCTTCTGTCCTGGGGTTGTCCATTTGAGAGCCAGATACATGCTGAAAAGATAGACAATATTCTGTGTGGATGTGATAATGTTGCTGTGAAGTGAAGAGGGGGGCGGAGAAAAAGCATCCCTATAATGAGCATGAAGATCTTATGTGGTCACCTGCATTTTCTTTACATTGTCTTTTTGAACAGGGGTCAGTAGCCAAGAACTGGAGCAGAGTCCACAGTTCCTGATCATCCAAGAAGGAGGAGATTTTACCATAAACTGCAGTTCATCAGAGCCTGTGTATGCCCTACACTGGTACAGGCAAAAGAATAGCGAAGGTCTAATCTCCTTGATGATATTATGGAAAAATGGGGAAGAAAAAAATCATGAAGAAATCACTGCCACGTTGGATGAGAAAAAGCAGCAAAGTTCCCTGCATATCACAGCCTCCCAGTCCAGCCACTCAGGCACCTACCTCTGTGCAGCAGAGGCACTGTGATCTCCAGGCCTCTGCAGGCTGTCCCCAAACACGCCACTGGGCTGCAGATGCTCTGCTGACACAGGGCTCCTGAGCGGTGCTGGGACACTTGCCAAGATGAGAAGCTTGAGGAAGATGCAGTAGTCTCATTGCAAAAAAACAAAAAAGAAAACGAAAAACAGAACAAGAAGAAGAAGGTTCTGGAGTGAGAGTAGGGGAAGCTCTACCTTTAGTCCCAAGTTTCATTTGAAACTTTTTGTCTGGGTAATTACCACTTTCTAGTGGGTAGACTCTCAACCTGGGATACGGATGGCATGAATTTCAGTGATTTTTGCAATCACTGTGCACAGATTTTGTGCCTTTATTGTCCCAAGGAAACTCTTTCCCTTCTGCTACTCACTGAGCTTGTTAATAGAAAGAAATTCTGAGTCATTTAGTAGATTCCTTGTGGCATTTTAGGACTGTACCGTGAGCAATATTGTCACACTGGGAGGAGTCAGGGGCAATACTTTTTCCCAAGTCTATATTATAAGTATAGAAATAGACAAATGGATGGATAGATAGATAAGAGAGAAAGGGGGATCTGTTCCAGTCTCAGACTGCCCCTCATTTCTCCAACAACATGGCTTCACCTGTTCGCACTGCCCACCGGCTGCAGCCCCACCCAGTTGGCCCCTCACCTCTGATGTAGCTTCGAAAAGAAACAAATTATATTCAGTCCTTGTGGCAGAGCGTATCTTGCAGAATTTTTTTTCAGTTGTCTTGTCCACTGTCCTTGATAAAAGATGTGCACTTAGAGCCAGATGGAACATGCAAAAGATTTTGTCCTCCGTTCTTCCCCATTCCGGCATCTTTATTTGCCTTCCTCCTGTAGGCTGCTCCTTCTTCCCCACCCTCCCAACTCCTAATGGTACTCTGTAACCTTTTAATACCCTTTTGCCCACCCAAAGCCTAATGTTTCTAGTCACCGAATTACTTTCCAAAATCTCCTCCCACTTCATTGATTCCATATCCATTTCCCAGCTTACTCTCCAAAATGGAGTGGTTCGTACGTAACCTAACTCACATCTCGATGCAACGTTCTAGATTAGCTCTCCTTGGATTGCTTCTATTTGAAAAGGGAATGTTGGAGGAGATTCAAAGGAAGTCACCTCAACTGGTGGGCTTTCACTTATGGTGACAGTTGGAGAGGAAGGATGTTTCACGGCAAATGCTGTTTCCCATGCCGCTAAACCATAGTGTAGACCATCTGCCCATGTATGGGGCAGTTCCTGTGGGCAAAGGTGCAGGCACCACACTGCATGCATGTTAAAAACACATTATTACTCAAATTTGTTTAGAAGAATAATACGATCCAGCAAAGAACAAGGACAGAGGCTGGCTCCTTCTCTCTCGACAAGATGGCCACACCGGCAGCACACCGGCAGCACACCGGCGAGTGCTCCTGCCGCCACTCCAGCTCCAGCCCCCGCCCCGGCCGCGGCCCCAGCCTCGGTCCCAGCCTCGGTCCCAGCCCCGGCCCCAGCCCCGGCCCCAACCCCAGCCTCAGCGCCAGCGCCGGCTCCGGCTCCAGCGGCGGTCCCAGCTCCGACGCCGGCAGCCTCATCCTCAGACTCGGCGACTGCGGCGGCCACGACCGCGGCTCCGGGCCAGACCCCGGCCTCAACGCCGGCCCCGGCGCAGACTCCGGCGCAGTCGCTGCCGGGTCCTGCTCTCCCAGGCCCCTTCCCCGGCGGCCGTGTGGTCCGGCTGCACCCGGTCATTTTGGCCTCCATCGTGGACAGCTACGAGCGACGCAACGAGGGCGCTGCTCGAGTGATCGGGACTCTGCTGGGAACCGTTGACAAGCATTCAGTGGAGGTTACTAACTGCTTTTCAGTGCCGCACAACGAGTCAGAAGATGAGGTGATATGGAATTTGCTAAGAACATGTATGAATTACACAAGAAAGTCTCTCCAAATGAGCTCATCCTGGGCTGGTATGCTACAGGCCATGACATTACAGAGCACTCTGTGCTGATCCACGAGTACTACAGCCGGGAAGCCCCCAACCCCATTCACCTCACTGTGGACACGAGCCTCCAGAACGGCCTCATGAGCATCAAGGCCTATGTCAGCACTTTAATGGGTGTCCCTGGGAGGACCATGGGGGTGATGTTCACACCTTTGACGGTGAAATATGCATATTATGACACTGAACGCATTGGAGTTGACCTGATCATGAAGACCTGTTTTAGCCCCAACCGGGTGATTGGGCTCTCAAGCGACTTGCAGCAAGTAGGAGGGGCATCAGCTCGCATCCAGGATGCCCTAAGCACAGTGTTGCAGTATGCAGAGGATGTGCTGTCTGGAAAGGTGTCAGCTGACAATACCGTGGGCCGCTTCTTGATGAGTCTGGTTAACCAAGTACCCAAGATAGTTCCCGATGACTTTGAGACCATGCTCAACAGCAACATCAATGACCTGCTGATGGTGACCTACCTGGCCAATCTCATGCAGTCACAGATTGCCCTCAATGAGAAACTTGTAAACCTGTGAATGGGCCCCACGCAGCACTCCTGCCAGTCTGGGCCACCCTAGGACTCAGAATGGAGTGAAGTAGAATGGTTTTCTTGTGGTTTGAGTCACACTGAGTCAGTCAACTGCTTGTGACTCTAAATAAATATAGCCTACCTTTTGTAAATGAAAAAAAAAAAAAAGAACAAGGACAGAAATTCTATTGCTTGACACTATACATAATAATTTGTAACATCTGTTATCTAAGATAAACACCATCTCTGTACAACCCTTGTGATAGGTGTGTGCAATACACAACATTGAAAGCACCACACCCACTTAGAGTTAATACAATAAAAGGCATAGAATGGCAGACATGATTATCTGCATTTTACTTATGAGAAAACTGAGAGTGAGAAGAAATTCCCATCAAGGAATGCTTTTGAGAATTTGAGTCCTGGGGAAGCACATTGGAGGCCACAGCCACTCCAGAGACACAGAGACCACTCGCCTATCACGTGGTGCATCCTCACCTTGCCCACTTCCTTTCAGTTGTGCCACTGAACACATTTTCTCATGGTCACTGCCCACCGACCTGAACCCAGGAAGCAGGTCGTGCTTTGCACTCATTTCTGTAAAATGCATATCAGAAAATGATGGAATTGGGTCATTCTGCTCCTGGCCCAGCAGAGAACGGAACTAGACCTTTGTTGAGTTTCAAATCTCTCCCCTGGGACAATGGATGCAGCCCTAGAGCTGTGTCAGTTTCCCGTAAGTCAAAGGGGTATCCCCTCATATTTACTTCATTTTGTTTTGTTGGGGTTCCTGATTGGTGTCTTCCTTCTTCTCCAACTTTAAATAGTAATAATCCATCCTTTTATGGCAGAGTTATCTTTCTGCACAAGCTCACTGAAGCCATTTGCTACCCTTGATTTTCCGGCGTAGTAATTCTAATTAGAAGATCATCTGAACAATTAAGTTAGAACACATAGCAATTGTATTTCTTAGGTCGCTGTAGTTGTGCGCTTAAGGCATATATGAGTCTACTGATTAAGCTCAGTGTTTTTAAAAAACTTCCCTACAAATTCCTCCTAACAACCAGGAAAGTGAGACTGTATTCTTGCAGGTCTGTGAGATGTGGTCTCTTATATATATGATATCTCTTTGAAATCTCATGTTCTATCTTTAAAATTCATGTGTGGTGCTCTGTAATATGCTCTCATTTGTTTCAATACACACACACACACACACACAAAAGCTTTAAATTCATGATCCAGAAATATATGCTGTGTTTATCCTGATGCTCACTGTCATCCTTCATACACTACTACCTGGCCCATGCTCTGTTAGGGGACAGAAATAGACTACCAGAATTCTCAAGAAAATGGGGACACCCTCAAGGCTGAGAGTCTTCATGGAGATCTTCATGGAGACTGGAACAGCTGCTCAGCATCAGGGACACTGCAGTAGCAACCATGAGGATCACAAGAAGCAGTAGATCTAGTGGTAAACTTGACCTGTTATCTCTGTGCCTCCCACATGCCATAAAGAGAGTATCAGATTAATGCAAATTTGTTTTTATCTAAAAGGAAATGTCTTGGTTTTTTGTTTATTCTCTGCTTTTTTTAAAATGTGTTACTTCAATAAAATGTTGCAGGGTCATTAAAAAAGAAAGAAGAGGCCCCTGGTTGGCTCAGTTGGTAGAGCATGTAACTCCTGATCTCAGGGTTGTGAGTTCAAGTTCCATGTTGGGTATAGAGCTTGCTAGGAAGGAAGGAAGGAAGGAAGGAAGGAAGGAAGGAAGGAAGGAAGGAAAGGAAGGGAGGAAGGAAGGAAGGAGGGAGGGAGGGAAGGAAGGAAGGAAGGAAGAAAGAAAGAAGAGAATGTCAGGTTATCAGTAGTTTTGCTTTAGGAAACATACTCACTCGGTAGAAATACAGAAGAAACAAGGTAAATATACACACAGAAGTTACTCTCTGGCAAACCTAGACCTAAAATTAGCATTGACCCTAGAAGAAGAAAAGGAAACTCAGGAAAACAGAAAGACATCTCCCTGCTCTTCCAAGTCTGAGAAGCCCAATAGAATAGAACATGATGGTCAGTACCTGGTAGAAGCTCATTAATGTAAATCAGGACAGAAGCTTCAAGGCATTCCTCAGGCACTCAGCCCAGATCCTACGCATTTGAAACTCCAAGTTGCCATCTCAGTTTTTTTCTTAAAGACAAAATTTCCCCTCTGAGATTTCCATTCTGTAAAAATAGGGTCTGCTATTATTCAGAGTTTTATCTTTTTCTTAATCAAAAGTAACCTTCTTCTTGCATTGTCTCTGTCAGGGTCCTTTGCTCTTTTTGTTTTTGTCTCCACATTTCATGTTAAGGTAATCTTCTCAAATTCCTAGTGATCCAAGATGCTCAGTCATACTTAGTGGGATATAAATCTGGGATTTGCACGAAGGGAGGATGGCCCTGTTTCCTCTGTTTTTCAGTGTTTGCCTCACCTCACTCTCAACTGAGCCTGGTATCCCAGACTCTTATATGCCTCTTCGTTCAATATCTTCAGAAAAATAGGGCTCCCCCCCGCCATGAAAGCAGGTGAGAAGGAGCAGACACCTGACTTTTCCAGGTCAGGATGGGAGATCTGAGAGTGTAACTGTACTTCATACTATTTTACTTTAGACCTGATACATTCTGTTTAAAGGCCCTTTACCCCACACTCCTCACTCTGATCTTCTGAGGTATCAAGAGTCCAAGTTCTTGAGACTCTCAGAGCACCTGTATTTTTGTTGGCATTCCCCTCTGTGGGCCCCTCGGATTCAACTTGCTTCAGGCGGCTAAACCAGTTACCACTTGTCCACTCACTCTCAGTCCCCAAAACATCTTATGGCTGTCATCCCTTGCCTGTTCTTTATGTCCTTTGGGGTTCATAACTTTAAAAAAAATGTTTACTCTCCTTTCAGTGGGTTCCGAGAAAGGCACAGAGGAAAAAATATGTCTTCGACTCACCATGCTTAAGCCTAAGTCTGTCTTGTTCATGTCTTTATATTTCCCTAGCAGATGTGGGTACTCAGTAAGGTTCATCAAATGAATGGGGGAAATTGGATTATTTTTAAAATTTTATTATGTTATGTTAATCACCATACAATACATCATTAGTTGTTGTTGTTTTTTTTTTTTTGAGATTTTATTTATTTATTTGACAGAGGGAGACACAGCGAGAGAGGGAACACAAGCAGGGGGACTGGGAGCAGGAGAAGCAGGCTTCCCGCCGAGCAGGGAGCCCGATGTGGGGCTCGATCCCAGGACCTTGGGATCATGACCTGAGCCAAAAACAGACGCTTAATGAGTGAGCCACCCAGGCGCCCCTACATCATTAGTTTTTAATGTAACGTTCCTTGATTCATTGTTTGCGTATAACACCCAGTGCTCCATTCAGGACGCAGATTATTTTTACAACTCTCCAAGAGTGGCATGAAGGAAAGCAATCTAGTGACTAGTCATAAGGGAGCAGTGTCTCCATTCATAGTTCACTTTCAAGATTGTCTCAAAACTCAGAGAAACCTCCAGTTAGAGATCAGATTGGCTGATACACAGAACAGATGTTTTCACATGATGATAGTATTTATAGTGTTACTCTAAGCTCAGAGGAGTTTCCTGAAGCAAAAACCCTTTTAGAAAATAATTCTTTGAAGGACGTGTGATGACCATGTTCTTTGAAGGTTTATTAATATTCCTGTGGATGCAGCTGACATGTGAGTCTTGGGGGTTTCTGAGTTTCACACAGAGAATTCTAAAGGGATGGAAATTCTGTGAAGGCAAGAGGTAAGGTTTTATCCAGGTCCATGAAAAGAGAGACACAGGAGAAAAGCTAGAGAGGGAGGGAGCAAAGGAAAAGGCACAGCAGTAGGGCTGGGAGTTAGGGAAGAGTGTCCATCATAGCTCCAACAAAGGTGATCTAAAAATGATTTTGAATACCTTCTTTTGTCTTTCTAAACAGGGGTGAGTGGCCAGAAGCTGAGTCAGAATCCTCAGTCTGTGTTCATTCAGTAAGGAGAGGATGTCTCCATGAACTACAATTCCTCGAGCGTATTCAACACCTTTCTATGGTTCAAGTAGGATCCCGGGGAAGGCCTTGTCCTCTTGATAGACTTATATAAGGTTGGTGAATTGACCAGAAATGGAAAACTGACAGCTCAGTTCGGTGGAACAAGAATGGACAGCTTCTTGACCATTTCAGCCTCTGAGATGAAACATTCAGGCACCTACTCTGCAGTGGGCAGCACAGGGCCCCCCGAGCACCTACCTGCAGCCTGCACTCAGACATGCAGCAGGAACCCCAGTCACTATGCTGCCAGTAGCTGCTCCTCTTGGCATGAAATATGATCGTGCACACAACCTATGTACCCTGCTCTCCCATTACTGCAAACTCTCATGCATTCAAGGTTTTATCTTCCAAAGATCGTGCTCTTTGCTTAAAGAACACAATCCCATTTTAATATATATCACTTACTTATTTTGTCAGTATATAAGGAGACATGATCAGTACAAAAATCAGAGTAGATTTAATGCAGCTCTCTTTAAAAATGGATAGATATCAATGGAATAGAATTGAGAGTTCAGGAATAAACCCAGACATCCATGGGCGATTGATTTTCAACAAGGGTGCTAAGACCATTCAATGGGAACATAGTCCTGGGACCTCTGGATAGCTGCATGCAAAAGGATATACACATATTCAAATACTAACTCAAATGAATCAAAGACCTAAATGTAAGAGCTAAAACTATAAACTCTTAGAAGAAAATATAGGCAAAATTTCGGTGATCTTGGACAATGCAACTATTTCTTAGATATGATACCAAAAGCACAGCAACCAAAGAAAAAAATAAATTGGACTTTATCGATACCAAGAACTTTTTCAAAGACCACAGAGTTTTCCACAAATGAAAGTGAAAAGGCAACCCACAGAATGGAAGACTGTATTTGCAAGTCATATATCTGATAAGAAGATAGTATTGAGAATATATAAAAAATAACTTACAACTCAAAAATAAAAAGACAAATACCAATTTAAAAATGGGCAAGGGATTTGCACATAATGGAATATTACTCAGCCATAAAAAAGGAATGAAATATTGTCATTTGCAACAACATGGATGGATTTAGAGGGTATAATGTTAAATGAAATAAGTCAGTCAGGGAAAGACAAATACCCTATCATTTCATTCATATGTGGAATTTAAGAAACAAAACAAACAAGAAAACAAGAGACAAACCAAAAAACAGACTCTTTTTTTTAGTTCTTTTTTTAATATGTTTAATTAGCCAACATATAGTACATCATTAGTTTTTGATGTAGTGTCCAATGATTCATTAGTTGCATATAACACCCAGTGCTCATCACCACATGTGCCCATCACCCAGTTACCCCATCCACCCACCCCCCTCCCTTCTGTAACCCTCAGTTTGGTTCCTGCAGGCCAGAGTCTCTCGTGGTTTGTCCCCCTCTCTCATTTCTTCCCGTTCAGTTTTCCTCCCTTCCCCTGTGGTCCTCCAGGCTATTCCTTATGTTCCACATAGGAGTGAAACCATATGATAATTGTCTTTCTCTGCTTGACTTATTTCATTTGGCATAATCCCCTCCAGTTCCATCCATGTCAGTGCAAATGGTGGGTATTCATCCTTTCTGATGGCTGAGTAATATTCCATTGTATATATGAACCACATCTTCTTTATCCATTCATCTGTTGAAAGGCATCTCAGCTCCTTCCACAATTTGGCCATTGTGGACATTGCTGCTATGAACATTGGGGTGCAGGTGCCCCTTCTTTTCACTACGTCTGTATCTTTGGGGTAAATACCTAGTAGTGCAATTCCTGGGTTGTGGGGTAGCTCTATTTTTAACGTCTTGAGGAACCTCCAGACTGTTTTCCAGTTACCAACTTGCATTCCCACCAACAAGGTAGGAGGGTTCCCCTTTATCCACATCCCCGTCAGCACTTGTTGTTTCCTGTCTTGCTAATTTTTGCCATTCTAACTGATGTAATGTGATTATCTCATTGTGGTTTTGATTTGGATTTCCCTGATGGCTAGTGACGTTGAACATTTTTTCATGTGTCTGCTAGCCATTTGTATGTATTCTTTGGAGAAGTGTTCATGTTTTCTGCCCATTTATTGACTGGATTATTTGTTATTTGGGTGTGGAGTTTGGGAAGTTCTTTATAGATCTTGGATACCAGCCTTTTATCTGTAATGTCATTTGCAAATATCTTCTCCCATTCTGTGGGTTGCCTCTTAGTTTTGTTGACTGTTTCCGTTGCTGTGCAAAAGCTTTTTATCTTGATGAAGTCCTAAAAGTTCATTTTTGCTTTTGTTTCCCTTGCCTTTAGAGACATGTCTTGAAAGAAGTCACTGTGGCCAATATGTCGAAGAGGTTACTGCGTATGTTCTCCTCTAGGATTTTGATGTATGGAACCAGAAAAGACCCTGAATCGCCAGGGGATTGTTGAAAAAGAAAACCAAAGCTGGGGGCATCATATTGCCTGACTTCAAGCTCTATTACAAAACTGTGGTCATCAAGACAGCATGGTATTGGCACAAAAACAGACACATAGATCAATGGAACAGAATAGAGAGCCCAGAAATGGAGCCTCAACTCTATGGGCAACTAATCTTCGACAAATTAGGAAAGAATATCCAATGGAAAAAAGACAGTCTCTTCGATAAATGGTGCTGGGAAAATTGGGCAGCCACATGCAGAAGAATGAAACTAGACCATGCTCTTACACCATACACGAAGATAAACTCAAAAAACAGACTTGAAGGTCTATTGGGGATAAACTTCTGTAGCCTTAGTTTCAACTTCATCCTTGAAAGATAATTTACTTACAACTCTCTATTTTAGTAGCTATCTTCTGTCAGCATTTTGAAGGTATTTTCCAGTGTATCACGCTTCCGTTGCTGATTTTGAGAGGTCTGCTTTCGATGTTATTGCCATTTCTTTGTCAATAACCTCTTTTATTTTCTTACTGCTTTTAAAATCTTTACTTGGCAGTATTTCTAAAACTTGGTGGTTTATACATATAACCTGTGTAGTCATCCGTACAGAAGTCAAGGATTAAGAACAGGTGAAGATAGTTCATTCCTTCTCTCTTTTTCATGACATCTAAACTGGTGTTGATTGCAAACATACTCCTGGTAAACATCCCAATTCAATTTACTAGAATATAAATGAGAGCGTTTTAGGGGCTGCTACGAACTTACTCTGCCATGTTCTGTTAGAATTGGTTGGGGTTTTCAGTGTAATGAAGCCTGAAATTTAAGAATTTATAGATGCAGCTGTCTGAAGAATGGAAATTAGTCATACAGCCCATCTAGCTAAGTATCCAAAGAGATGTAAGAATTAAAAGAACCCCAAACTAAATGGTAATGTGGTGCTAAGAATCCTGCCCTCACAGTCATAATTCATTACAGAAGAAAAAGAAGATTAGAAACGCCCTAAATCTAATAAAATTATCAACTAAAAATTCACAATAAATATGATGGCAGAGAAACTAGGAGTTATGTATTCAGCACTCAGTAAATGACTAAATAATTATATATCTATACTACAGAATACTATCCAGTCATTAAAGAAAAAAAATGAAGTAGACCTTCATGTAATGATGTGGAAATAAATTTAAGATAGACTATTCAAGTGAAAAACAAATAAGCTACAGAATAACATAAAATAAAATTTTATTTTCTTTAAAATTCATGTTCCCTTGATCTGAAAATCTAGCCATTTTATCTTCTTTTGCTCTCAGTCAGCCCATTATGGGCTGGGTCGTCACAAGTCACTTTGCCTGACAGAGATTGTAAATATCTTATCTTCCCCAGAACTAAAGAAAATAGACTCCATACTTTCTGTTCCTAAAGCATAAAGTTCTGCTTGAATGAAGCACGGAGACTCTTCCAGGAGAAACAAATGAATAAAAAAGAAGATAATGAGACTTTTGATGTGAAGGGATAAAGGGGATTTTTAAGGGAAGCTAGGAGAGGCTGGAGAGTCAGGAGGAGGGGACATAACAATGTCAAGCCCTTGATGCAAGAAAGGAATTAAGAATGGGCAATAGGCAAGAAGCAGCTACTAAGGACACAGTTGAAGTGCGCAAGAGCCATGCTAGTTCTTGGCCTTTGCCACCCACTAGCCCTATCTCCAGGTGACTCTCCAGAAGGTTGGTGGCCCATAAAGCCTGTTCCAGGTAAATTTTCACACTTCATGCAAGTGACTGCTTCTCTCTCTCTGCAGCAAGAACCCTTTCGAGCCCTCAGCCCAGGTTGAATACATCACCTTGCAGTGCCTTTAAACAACTCAAGGCCAAATGGTGTCTTGGACACTTAGCAGGATGGTTAGGAGATTCTCTAGCAACCATACACTTGGGTGGAAAGGCAGGGTGGACACCAGAATTGAATACCTTAGATTATCATGAGCTGGGACAGTTAGGGAAGGGCCCACTATATTTCCAAATGTTGAGCAAACGTTCTATCTAGCTGTCCCCCTCACCACAGCTTAAAGTCTACAATGTTTTAGAAAATTTTAGAAAATGAGAAAAGAAAGTAACTTTATTTTGAACAAATCTATGATATATTTTATTAACAAAAAAGAAAAAAGTTCTGGATGGAGACACGTTGAAGGTAGAGGTTAGAATTGCAGGGGATTTAGATTTTCTTCTTGGTGCTTCCCTGTAGTTTCCAAATGTTCTGCAATGTCCATATATCTCTTTAATAATCAAAAAAATGTAATTGCAAATGTATAAGTAGAATTTGATTTTTTTTAGCTTAAAAAGAGGAGATAATTGTGCCTGGGTGGGTCCAGTTAAGAGTCTGACTCTTGATTTTGGCTCAGGTCATGATCTCAGGGTTGTGAGATCGAGTCCACTCTGGGCATGGAGCCTGCTTAAGATTCTCTTTCTCCTTCTGCCCCTCTCCCCGTCTCAAAAAAAAAAAAAAAAAAAAAGAGGAGAGACTCACATCACAATTTTATGTAGGAATACTTACCCAAAAATACATGGACAGATACACCTTAGTTAAAATGGTACAAAATGTGTTCCCAGAGTTGCGTTGTCACCATCTGGAAAGAAAATGTATTTAGTGGAGGAATTTAAAGAAAATAGAAGTCTGTAAAATGGATGAATGGAATAAACAATGGATTTCTGGGCAGAAAACAATATTTGTAAGAGGGAAGGGTCTCAGTGGATTTAGAAATGAGGTTATCAGGGTGATGTCTTGATATTTGTTTTGACCAAATCAGGATGAAACCGGAAAGAGCACTTTGACATCTGCATATCACCCAAATACACCTGTGAATTATCCAAGACCCCACTGTTTAACAGAAATACCACTTTCTAAGTTTGTGTTCCAGGATAATGAGATCAATGGTGAACCTTCAATGAGCTTTTGGAAGGACCTTTGCCTCTTTCCCCACCTTTTCCTCCAAACCCCAGAGCACTGCGGTCCCTCACCTCACAGGGCACACTCCTGCTTGAATGTTAGTTCGGCAGTTTCCTACTTCCCAGTGTACTCTTCCTCTTGGCCTGCACTGAGCCATAGAACCCCAGACTATTAGAGCTGTGGGTAGCTCTGGATAGCCTGTCCTTCCCCCGTGCGACAATTTTGGAAGACTCTATAATCATTGGTAAAACATGTGGATACAAGTTTTCAGCTATTCTGCACCAGCTCACAAGATGGCAGTGCTCTGAATGACTTCCCTGAGTGACTGAGTGGGAAGGATTTGAATTTGAATTAGGGACAAATGATACTTATTTTCTGATTGGCTGATGAGCCAAATTGCTATTTCCCTTTCAGGGTGTATATGTGTCTGTGTGTGTTCGTGTGTCTGTCTGTCCTGGGGGAAAAGAGTGTTGGTTCAAAATAGAAAAAGAAACACTCAGGGCACTGAATCACATTTTGCCCAGGAAAACAAACGATAGAGTTGAAGGATGGAGAAGTGGCCACGAGCTTCACTAGCCATCTTTTGGCTTCAACTGAGCTGTGAGTAGCATTATTACAAAGGGTCGGGGACAGCCAGGAAAACCTGAGGACTGATCCTCAGAAAACTAAGGGTGGGGGGAAGTAGAATGCATTCTGATTTATCAGGGAGGATCTATTGTTCCAATGGAGAATAATTATGATCTCTGAGAAGTATTGATCTGACATCACTCTATCTCTGAGTGATTTGTTACTTTTTTCTGAACAGGGGTGAGCAGTGAAGACAAGGTGATCCAGAGCCCTCCATCTCTGATTGCCCATGAGGGAGACAACTCAACTCTCAGCTGCAGCTACAAAGTGACCAACTTTCAGAGCCTATTTTGGTTTAAGCAAGAAGAGAAAACCCCTACCTTTTTGCTTAGACTAATTTCAGGTGGGACTGAGAAGTCAGGAAGGTTAAAAGGCACATTAGATAAGAAAGAACTTCTCAGCACCCTGCACATCACAACCACCCAGCTTGGAGACTCAGCTACCTACTTGTGTGCAGTGGAGGCACAGTGTCTTCTTGTCAGCTGCAGCCCGTACCCAAATGCTCCAGCTGAGGCTCCTGCAACTGTTAGGTGGGGAACTTGCTAAGTCAGGCACGACCTCGAAAAGAAGCTTTAAGGAAAAACAACTATTAGTCAAGATCCTTGTGCCCGTGTTGACAATTACTGGTGTGGTTCACGGAATCATATCACTGCATTCACCACCTTCTCTGTGCTTTTCTATGGGAATCAACATAGTTAATATTTTTAGAGGTCACTCAGGTGATACCAACTCCACGACCACCCCATTACGCCCTGTGGGAGAAAGAAAACCTTTTCAGAAAGAAAGCACCAACAACTGGTATGTGCACCACCCATCATGGACTCTGCCTGACAGCGTCATGGATGGCAAATCCAGTTTATTTTTGGTCTGATCTTCCCATCTAGAACAGACACAATTATAGGTAAAGTTCTGCTTGCAACTTCTTCCTTGCTGGACCTATTAGCAAAGAACAAAGAGTGGGAACCAGAAAGCATCATGATTTGATTCAAACAAAAGCTTTTCTTTGGCACTTGCAGGATTCTTATTTACTCCCTTCATCTTTGGGTTGCTGCTTAGGCTAGGTGCTTCATGAAAGCAGTGGTCGGGCTTTCTCAAGATGTTACACATTAATGTAAACAGTTAGTACTTGAAGCAGTCTCCCAAACGAAAGGGACTAGCTAAACTAAGTAATGTAAAGCTAACATAAACTTAGCTTAGTTCTGTTACAGTATATTTTTTCAGTGAAATATTATGTACTCACATATACTGTATTTACAGAGTTTGCAATGGAAGCTACTGTTTTTTGAGAGTGAATACAATAGGCCCTGTACCTTGCAAATATTACCTCATTAAATTTTCAAAACAACTCTGATGGATCATTGTTCTTATTCTCAGTTAACGGATTAGGAAATGCAAATTCAGAAAAGATCAAAGTTGCCTCCTCCCTTCTGAAAAATAACTGATAGAATTCAAAATTAAGTCTATCTGACTCCAAAGGCTATGCTTTCTCCATTGCATGCCCCATGTTAAATATCACAGGAGAAAAAAAATTACCCACAGTACAACCACAGTTATATACCAAAACAGTACATGAAACACTGGAATAAGATGTGTTTGCCGTGTGAATAAAATAACATGTTCACATTGACCCCAAGATGTTTGCAACAGTATTAGTGCTTTTTGAGTACTGGGCTTAACACTTTTTATTTTCTGCTTTATAATATTCTTTATTTTTCAAACTACTTAGCAGGAGCTCAATACTGAGCATTATTTCACAAACAGAAAAAAATACAATCCGCTTTATTTTATTTCATTTATTTAATTTTTTGTACACAGTAAATATATACAGTATTTGGTTTGGTTTCGTTTTTTTAGAGAGAGCACGCACAAGACAGAGGGAGAGAAAGAATCTCAAACAGGCTCCATGCTCAACGTGGAGCTCAGCTTGGGGCTCAGTCTTACGCCTGAGATCATGACTTGGGCCAAAATCAAGAGTAGGAGGCTTTAACTGACTGAGCCACTCAGGTGCCCCTATACAGTTTTTATTTGTCCATAATACCTTAAAAAATCTTAAAAAATGGGGATTAAAAGGAAATAGTAGGAGGAATTAACCAAAAAGCCACTTTATGAAAAAAATTCAAAAACAAATAGGTAACAGTAAAAATGTTCTTTAAGCAAACTTTGCTTCAAAGACAAAATCAGGTAAAATTTTAAAATTTCTTAAATATAGTGTTAACATAAAAATAATAAGGGACATGCTAAGTAATTCAGAAAAATCATGTACCAGAGGAATATTTGTAGCATAAGACATTTGTATCAATATAATTATCAGGATGCCCGTGTGGCTCAGTGGGTTAAGCCTCGGGTCTTGGTTTCTGCTCAGGTTATGATCTCAGGGTCCTGGGATCAAGCCCCGCACATTGGTTGGGCTCCATGCTTGGCATGGAATCTGCTTGTCCCTCTCCCTCTGCTCCTCCTCCAGCTTGAGTTCTCTCTTTCTCTCTCCCCGCTCTCGCATAAATAAATAAAATCTTTTAAAAATACATATGTATAATTATCAAATGACTATAATGCTAGTGAAGGAAAAATACAACAAGTCAAAAATAAGCAGGATTGGATTAATAAATAAAAGTAAAAATGAATGATATGAAGTGCAAAGTAAAATATCAAATCTAAACAGCTTTTAACTGTCTTTTCTGCATCTATGTACATTTTCATATAATTCATCTTCTTAGTTCTATTACCATTATGTAATATATTATGATTTCTAAAATTTAACTCTCTTGAATTCCTGGAATAAAATTCAAGTGATTATAACATATTATTTCTCAATATTCTCTTATAATTATTTTTGCTGATATTTTGGTGTTTTGCATTGATTATTTTAGTAAGATTGTTCACTGATTTTCTTTTTTTGTTGTAGGTTTTTCAGATTTTGGATCAATATTATATTTGTTAAATAAGTTAATTTATAATTTTCTGTTTTATTTTGCCCTTGAATAATCTTTTCTTTTTCTTTTTCAAATTTTTATTTAAGTTCTAACTAGTTAACATAGAGTGTAATGTTGGTTTCAGGAGCAGAATTTAGTGATTCAACACTTCCGTACAACACCCAGTGCTCATCACAACAGGTGCCCTCCTTAATCCCCATCACCCATCTAGCCCATCCCCACCTACCTCCCTCCATCAGCTTGTTCTCTATTGTTAAGAGTCTCCTATGGTTTGTTTCCCTCTCTCTTTTTTTTTTCCCCTCCCCTATGTTCATTTGTTTTCTCATTCTTTTTGATGGCTGAGTAATATTCCATTGCAAATATATATCACATCTTCTTTATCAATTCATCAGTCAATGGACATTTGGGCTCTTTCCATTGTTTGGCTATTGTTGATAATGCTGTTATAAACACTGTGGTGTATGTGCCTCTTCAAATCTGTATTTTTGTGTCTTGGGTAAATACCTAGTAGTGCAATTGCTGGATCATAGGGTAGTTCTATTTTTAACTATGTAAGGAAACTCCATACTGTTTTCCAGAGCAATACACTCTATTTTAGAATGCCAAAATCCAAGCAAGGTGAAACTGCATTTTGTCATTATTATTTGACACTCGTATTAACTGGATTACAATAATTAATTATACGTGACCAAATGACACAGCATTAAAACAAGATTTTTTTATTGCTAGCCCTTCAAATCACTGTGGACTAATGCTCCCTTAAGTTGGAAAGGTGCAAAAATTACAAAAAGACCTACCTTTCCTGATAATTGATTTTAATAACTATTCCTACATGTAGAGTGCTTAATGCCCTATCACCATAGGCAAATGAAGACAGCAAAGGCAGCTGGGGCTCATGAGTTTGTTAGGAAATGCTTTGCAGTCGAGTGCAGTTTAAAGTTCACTGTCCAGGAAATGAGGAGATAATGCAGAGAAAGGGCAGGTAATTATTCAAGGAGGAGAGGAAGAAATTGGATACAAATTCCTGCAATGTACCTGCCAATTTTTCAGCCTGCACATGCCTCTGCCTGTTTTCTTTGCTTCCCTCCTTTTCTGTCTACACCAAGAGCCAGAAACCAGGAAGTAGAGATGGGGGAAGAATCCAGCTTTTCTTTATGTAAGGTTACAAGATAGAAGTGGGAAATCCTGTGTAAGTCTCCCCAGTATTTCTAAGCCAAATATTGGAAAGTGAAAACAGCAGGAAGAAGAATGTATTTGTTTTTTTTTTTTGTTTTTTTTTCATTTGAAGACCCAGGAAGAAAAGATTTAGAAGACCAAATAACTAATCACTCCATAGATGGCCATCCTTAATATACTAGGTATGTTCCTTAAAAGTGGTGTATAAACTGGATTTATTATCTTATCACCCCCCCCTTCATCCTCAAGATTTGTATGGGGACAGAATTGAAAAATAAAAAATCACAATATCAACCCTAATTATTCACTGCAAAAATCATCCTACCCTTAGCAGTTAATAGTGTGCATGCCCTCAAGCTCTTCCGTACATGGTACCTGTTAGAGATTCAGTTTCCAGTGTATTTAAGACAGATATAAGGGCATCCCTTAAGGCTTGTTATAAATTATGACAAAATTTTAACATTTATTAGATTCATATAGCATGTAAAGGAAGTCTATTAAATTATTTTATCCAATTTTCAATCTGTTTAAAATATTTCATAATGTTAGATGTTTGTTTCATACATGGCAGGGAGGGGTCTTAGGAGACTTCCCACATATGGCTGAATGCATGGCACACTGGGATGTGGGCCAAGTTCATCATCATTCTTGGCTACACCTCACAAGGGTGAAAGTGGGTCCTTTTCTCCCTTAGCAATGGCTGTGTAAATGGCCGGGAGTTTTGACCCATGAATCCCACCCCATTTTTTCTAAGGAGAAAATCTGCTAAGAGAACAACCACCACCACAACAAAAAACATGAAGTTTGAGATGTTGTCTCCCAATTTTTACAACAAAGTAAATATTCAGCCATAGGGATTGAGCCGTCAATTTGTTAATGTTCTAAGAAAAGAAAACCTCTAAAATACAAAGATTATAAAGTGAAATAGGAAGTGTTTACAGGGTAATACTAAGTTAAAGAAACAGACAATTCCATCACCCCATTCTTCGAGCATTCTTATTGTTGCACCCACTAAATCCTTTTGTTTTCTTTAAGCTTCTGTCTCAATAATTACGTTTCTTATTCAACAGGGTTTTTAAGGCTCTCCTCACTACCTTCCTCTTTTTGTCCTTGCCTGGCACACTTGAATCCAGAAGAGCCCATATCTCTTCACAATGTCACCTGAAAGTACTCAAGAGATATACTCAAAAAATAAATAAAAGTGCATATTTTTATAAGCTTCCAAGGCCTTGAGCTTATATCTCAAAACCCAAGCGTCTGGGGGCGCCTGGGTGGCTCAGTCAGTTGGATGTCTGCCTTCGGCTCAGGTCATGATCCCAGGGTCCTGGGATAGAGCCCCACATCGGGCTCCTTGCTCAGCAGGGAGACTGCTTCTCCCTCTGCCCTTCTCCCATGCTCGTGTGTGCTCTCTCTCACTCTCTTGCTCTCTCTCAAAAACAAAAAACAAAACAAAACAAAACAATAAAAGCATGTGTCTGGCATCTTGATGGAATGGCATCCCTTATGACCAAAATTTCCTTTGGAGGATGTGAGCACTTTTCCCTGCACTGGTTCAGAGCTGCACAAGGAGGACACTTACAAATCCCAATACTGCCTAATTCAGGCAGATGAGGAGCCAATTCCAGGGATGCCGGAAGGGGATCTGGGCCAAGACTCCCAAGTGACGACACTGAAAGGAAAGCCTCCGGACACCCATTCCCAGCCATCCTGCACATAGTAGGTGTTCACTGAGTATACTTAGTATCAGTTTGTCTTATTACAGTAACTACATTGTTAGCTAATGGGCTCTTTTCACAAATGCTATTCCAGGCATTGACGTCGCTTAAAACACAAGTCTCCATGAGCAACAGATCCTCCCGCTTCAAGCCAGTCAGACCAAAAGTGTCCGACTCTCCCTTCCGGACTCAAGGAAGCTACTGTACTGTTCCAAACTATGACCTCCTTTCTTTTTTTCTTTTTCCACTTTGATGGGTCTATTTATACTTTCAAAAGAAAACACGGGTGGTTGACTTTTTTGTTTGCTTGCTTGTTTGTCTGTTTTTACAAGAAGACCCCTAAGATACAAAGAAGCCATTAGTCCTCCTGCAGTTGGTGCAGTCTGGCTCAGGGATATGGAGGATTTACAAGTCAGATGCCAGAGACTTAGCTGTTCTGGAGGGGGTCAGTGCCCCTGGAAGGGGAACAGTTTCTATCTCACTCTTTCCTGTTCCATGCTCTTGACAAGAACCAAACAGAATTTACCTCTTGAAAGAGTAAACTCTCACCAAAATAACACTCTAATTCTAATTTCAAGACTAAAATGTATTTGTTGCAAAAGAAAAACAACAAATTAAGGGAACGTTTGTAACTTCAACCTACAGAAATTACCACTGTTAACCGCTTAGCGTTTATACTTTCCACTTTACCTGTGTTCATGTATATGAAAAAATATGTCTAGAGAGATGTGGGGAATTCACATTATTTCAAAGAACAGGTGTTTCTCAAAGTCGCCGCAAGAAGCTACTTCTGTTTCTTCAAAACAGTCTCTTTATATAGTTAAATATAACCTCCCATTTCTGACCTGTGAGTCCTGGTAAGAACCCTCCAGAAATCCCTTCCCAGGGAGTTGATGACAAGACACTCTCAGTGGATAGTGTACATTCCCTGGATAATGTACATTCACTAATGAGCCATCAATAGATACCAAGTTTACTTTCACATCATTGCTAGCACTGGTCCCTCCCAGGTAACTAAGCCCCGTTCTGCACCCTGAGCAGCACTCCTGGATAAGCCAGCTAGAACGGCACTTGGCTGATGTGTGTTTTATGTTTCAGGGCCTGGGACAGCAGGCTGGATCAGACCCCAAGAGGCAGAAGTGACTGGAACAGAGGAGAAAACTGTGGACCTCTTTTGTAAATATGGTACCTCGTCTCCACACCTTGTTGATCTCTACTGGTTTTGACAGTATCCAAACCAGGCACCGGAATATATTCACTACAGAGGGTGGGGATGCTCTGGAAAAGGAGATGCCAGTTTTGCCATAGGAAGGTTTTATTCAAAGCATACAGCAAGTGCAACACATTTGTACATCAGAAATCTGGTACCTACAGACACTGGCCTGCATCACTGTGCTCTGAGAGAGATGCACAAGGAGAACGTCACATACAAGAACACCAGTGCACGGGAGGAGAGAGGTCAGGGCACAGCTAGGCACACCGATGATTTTTCTAAGGTAGTAATTAGGATATACTGGATCCGGAAAGGTCTGTTCTAATGATCTAATCGCTATTTAATCGTAGGCAAAGAGCTTAAGTCTTTGGAATTTCTGTTTCCTGAAATCAGAGATAATTATTTTATAAGCTTTTAAAAGACATGGCTTCAACACATGGGTTAAGTGCCTGACATGTCTTGGATGATGCTCAACAAATGGTAGATACCGTTTTGCTCTTTCTCAATAACTAACTTCGGCCTCAAAGACCTTTCTATCAATAGCTGAGGAGCTCTATGATACCACACTGGCAAAATAATATTAATAACAATAATAACCCTAAAGCACACATCCAGGACCCATCCCATCCCTGGTCACCGTGGTAGGCATTGCAGTGCATGTTCAGCAAATGCAACCATTAGAGGATAAAAGGAGCCTGAGGTATTCATTCCCGAACTCACGGCCATGAGCAGACCTGCCCGCCTGTGCTGCCCAGCCTGCCGTGGGCACTAATGGCTCTATCCTCCCTCTTCAGCAGGGACTGAGACACCCTCAGGGCTGGAGGTGGGAGGATAGTCCCCTGGCAACACATACCAGATGCTTTGGGGCCAGGGAGAGAGAGGAGTGACCGAAGCCAGGCTGTGCTCTCTCCTGCCGTCCTGGCGATCTTCTTCAGATGAGGGTGTTCTAAATGATCTGTTCAGGACCATCTCACTGTGGCTCACAGATCCAACCGGCCCTGTTCTTGGTCGTTGTCACTTCCTCTGCAGGATGCAGTAGCACCCAGAGAGTCAATCATTCAGTCTCAACCCGAGATATTCACACAAGAAGGGGAGTTTGTGGCTCTGAACTGCAAATACTTTGCAAGTAATCCCACTTACGTTCTTTCTTGGTTTGGGCGCCACCCCAGTGGGGAGATATTTCAAGTGATTTTTTTCAAAGTTCAGGCTCCTCCAGGAATGGATGGTTTTCTGGGAGCTGGTAGAAAGCAGCCAAGACCATCATTCTCACCATCTCGGCTGTGAGGCCAGGAGACTCGGGAGTATTTCTGTGCACTTAGGATGCCCACGGCAGGAAGAACAGTAAAAACTGGAAGGCCAAAACCTCAGAGCTTATACCCCAGACTCACCTGCTGCCAGGACCCGGAGACCCACAGACCCTAAACTGAAAAGAAGATCAAAAACTGTGGGCAGCTTAACTGTAGCGTGGGAAGGAAATGGGTGGCTGTGTTGCAGGAAAAACCACCTGTTCCTGCATTCAGTCCACAATGGCTTCATTCTGCAGTCCTAAAATGGACTCATCTTCAAACCCTAGCTGATTGAAAAAACAGGCAGTATTTTCTTTTAATTTTAATCATTTTCTTTTTTCTTTAAACTTTTGATATATTTCAAATTATAAAAGCAATTCTGCTTACTGTAATAAATGAAACAATACGAATATGATAAAGAAAAAGTTAACCCTCACTCACCCATTCTCTCTCATTCCTAGGAGGTAAATAATTTTAACAACCTGCTGAGTGTCCTCCCCATCATTCTCCCTGTTCATATAAGTATAAACAAACATATATATAGGGTTGGCTGTTTGGTTTGTAGGCTTATTGTTTTGTTGGTTTGTTTTTATTGATAGATGTGTATGTGTATGTCGTTTTCACATAGTCTAATCATAGGCATCCCTACAGGTCAGTAGATATTATTCTAACTCATTCATTTTTTTAAATTTATTTTTATTTTTTTATTGAAGTGTATTTAATGTGCAGTGCTATATTAGTTTCAGGTGTACAATACAATGGTTCAGCAATTTCATACATTACTCAGTGTTCATCATTTTAACTAATGTCTAACAGTCCATAGCATGAATGTACCATAGTCTACTCAAGCATTTCTTTATTGATAGGTACTCAGTTTTGTCTGTTTAGGCCTATTGCTGTGATAAAGAACTGTATCTATATTTGCAGTTTATATCTTTGGAATAGAATTCTAAAAATTTGATTACTGGATCAAAGGATATCTTTATCTTTGTTTTTAACAGACTTTTTAGATTACTTTCAAGTAAAGTTGTAGCATGTCACACTCTAACCAGCAATTTGTGTGTATTTTCCCTTTATTCTTGCAAGTTTTAGACAATATGGGGTGTTTCAATTTTATAAATATGATAGGCTAAAAATGAACTCATTGTTGCTCTAATTTGCATTTCTCTGATTTCCAGTGAGATCAAAAGTTTATGGCCAATTGAGTTTTCTCTTCTGTAAATAGCCTTTTGTGTCTTTGTCCATTCTTCTTTTAGGTTATTTACTTCTCATTAATAAGATATAGCTAGAGATGTCAAAATTTTCTGTCATTTCCTCAGTCTGTTTTCTGACTTTGTTTATAGTACATGGCATGGTACGTTTTGCCTTTGAATATATTCCAAATTTCATATAGTCAAATATGTCTGTTTTTTTCTGTAGCTTCTGATTTCCACCTGTTGGAGGAAGCCATCGAGCAAGATGACCACTGGTTGACCTTCAAGCTGGACCCCAGTGATCAGACAGTCCTTGCCCCCTTCCTTATCTTTGAAATGTACATCCTACGCACCACTCCCACACTAGCAGCCACTTCAAGGTTGCAGCCTTAAGAGAGCACTGTGTTGTTGAGACCATCTGGACTGAATACATGACAGAACTCAGCTAAGGCCTCTATATAAACTTAAGATTCAGGGTGGCAGGGGCAGAGATCTACTTGTCCTGAGGCCACCCAAGACAGACCTCATATCTAAGTCTCTTTGCTTATTAAACCTGCCACCTACTAATCTGGAGTGTTCTGCCTCTTCCTTCTGTCTTTCCTCACCCCTGTGTATCAGGGCCAGTTTCAGATTTCGCTTAGGAAACTCCCGAGGTTTCGAACTAACATCACCTGACTTCAAATATCTCCCATAATCCATATATATACAAATACTCTTAGATATTTAGCCAGTAGTCTTATTTTGATTTTTACCATAAAATCTTTTGGCCATCTGGAAATTATCTTTATTTATACAGTCTATTTTCCACAACTGCAATGTCCTTCTCATATTTTACTTTCCTATATATATGTATGTGTAATCAAATGGTATATGTCCTCATTAAGACATTTGCTTGCTTCCAAACATTCCAGAAGAGTGTAAGAATCACAGCAGAATTGGGTGCTATTGAGGATAATCGCTAAATTCCACAGCAACAACATGAAAGAAGAAATTCTTGGCCATTCGACTGGGGTGAGAGGCAAAACCCGTTTGATGTTAGCGAAAGAGATATTAGAGGGGAGACTGGGAACATCAAGAGGTGACCCTTCTGGAAAATGCTCGTCTTGTGCAGAAAGGAGGAAGATGTTTAACTTGTCTCACCTGACTCCTCCCTAAGTTTAGGTCTGCCTACAGTCATGTGTCTAGATAGTAATGAGCTTCTTAACTGGCTGAACATGTCAGGTTCTTGTGGCACAAGAGAAAATACAAGAGAAAGATAGCCAGAGCTAAAAGAAGGTGCAGTAGCCTACATCCCACTGTTTATTGACACCATTTTCCATGAATTTCCTGTGAGTGTAATGAATCTGTCTAGATTCTGAACCAACTTGTCTGAACCTACACCTGCCTCCAAAGAGCTGCTACCTGGGAGGGGTTCCTAGCAGCAAGAGGCTGTGGAGTGGTCCAAGTGTGGGCTCAGTGAGGAGGAAGACACTGCACCCAAGGCTTCCAGGAAACTGTAGGTGGAAGGTTCTGCAGCCCCTGAAGAAACCACCAACACACCATCATGAGAAAGCAAGCATTTGAATATCTGCTGCTGAGATGTAATCTCTAGCCAGGCAGAGATAACCAACAAGAAGAGGCAGGAACCTCTCCTTCCCAATCTGGGGCTGTTCACATAGAGGAAGAGTAGTCTAACCACCAGGGAAATAAGGCTGCTCAGCCCAGGAGCGAATGAGAGTCCTTTATTCTCTGTCCAGCCTCTGAGGGGTGACAAGGGATGAAGTCTGGAAGGGACAGCACAGTCCACCTGTCATTGGAGCTACCGGAGCCTTCCACTGGAGGAGGAGGGCACAGCTTTGAGTCTACATGGTAATTAAGGTTTAAGATGAATACATGAACAGTTGGAGCAAAGCTGGTGTAATAAGTGAGAGAAAAAGGAAGGATAACCAGTTTCCTAGTGGAAAAGAGAAGGTTGATAAAGCAAACTATTAGCAAATATCAAGAGAAATTAAAGCCGATTCCTGTTTTTATCCTATGACTTGAAATACTCTCATCAAACCAGTAATATTTGGATCTCTTCTGGACTTTACCATGTTCTGCTTATTGGCTTAATCCCGTGCCTAGATCATATTGTTTTGTTTAGAGTAAGCTTTTTTTTTGTAATAAATAAGAAAATCCAATTTTAATATTCTTTTTCAAAATGTAGTTCACAATTCCAGGATATTTGTTCTATCTTATTCATTTTGCCTGGTTCAAACAGTGGGATTCTGATTGGAATCACATGGGAAAGTTTGACATTTTAGGACATTATGTTTTCCTATACAGAAATGTTATCTGCAGGTTCATTTATTTAGATCTTATTTTAGCCCTTTAAAAGTAAGTTTTGCTCGTTTTTTTCCAGAAAAGTTGGGAAAATGAAATGAACCCCTGAATAAGTGGAGAGCAAATGTCTCATCTCCTGTGTTTGTTTCTCTCTCTGAGCAGAGCTGATGGCCAACGGAAAGTGGAGCAGCATCCCCAGCCCACAAGTACCTAGGAGGGAGAGGGTCCCATTTTTAATGGCTGTGACAGAAGACTGTTGGTTTTTATGTTCCAGACACAATGCTGGGAAAGACCTTGTCCTTAGAGCTTTCCTTATTCCAGAGCTCAAGCAGAAAACAAGAGTAAGAGCCCCAACCAGTAAGAAGAACATGGCACTCTGCGGGACACAGAGAGCAGGTACCAAGTTCTGCCCTATGATCATGAGGACCCCGGCACCTTCAGTCTGTACATGACCCCACAAGTAGGCCACTGACTTCCGCTACTAATCAGCACAAAATAATGTTTTTCATGTTCATATCTGAGGTTTTTCTGTTTCCTTCTCTCTACATACTTTATTAGGCAATGTAAAATATCTTAGGCATAAGGCCTATACACAGAGAGCTTACTATCTAATAGACATAAGAATGTCTCACTCGATGTAAGCTTTGTAAGACATCAATTTTTTTCTTACCAATAAGCATTCACCTAATGAGAGTTGAATGAACAAATGACCCATGTGTAATACAAGGCATATTTATACCCAATGGTTAGAATTTATATGGAGACAAATTTCAGCTAGAGTTTTTTCAAAACAAAATAGAAAACTTTGAAGTACAAAAAGTGCCTCATTACCAAAAATATTCAAAGAAAAGTGGAATGTTCTCTTTCCAGTGATGTTATAGAAAGAATTACAATCTGATATGATTTTGTGCAAAATCAAGAATTTTAAGTTTTGAATGGGGAAAAATGCCATAAAAGAATCAAACAACTAAAATGCTTGTAAAATTCACCACCAATAAAAAAGTCACTTCCAGATTCATGGAAACTGGAATTAGAGTTTGTACTTGAAGCATGTGTAGTAATTTAAATGAGGGGCATACTAGGCAGGGTAAACTTATTAAGGGCAAAGTTCGAGAAATAATAAGCAAGAAAAGCTTAGGAAATTAAAAGTTTTTAATATTACTAAAAAGGACAATTTTTATTGCACAGCACTGTGAGATAATATGAAATGTTAGCTTGAGGCAACTGTTAGTCCAAGAGACCACACAGAACGGGGTTTCCTTTCAGACAGAGAAGTCATGAGATTATCCATCTTTACCATAATCAAAATTAAGGAATAATTTAAAATTGTTTTTCAGAATGAGCTGTTCATTTACATTTAAACTGTTAAATAACATCAAAGATTTACTTTTTTTTAAATAATTTTTTATTGTTATGTTAACCACCATACATTACATCATTAGTTTTTGATGTAGTGTTCCATGATTCATTGTTTGTGCATAACACCCAGTGCTCCACGCAGAATGTGCCCTCTTTAATACCCATCACCAGGCTAACCAATCCCCCCACCCCCCTCCCCTCTAGAACCCTCAGTTTGTTTTTCAGAGTCCATCATCTCTAATGGTTCCTCTCTCCCTCCGACTTACTCCCCTTCATTCTTCCCCTCCTGCTATCTTCCTCTTCTTCTTCTTTTTTTTTTCTTAACATATATTGCATTATTTGTTTCAGAAGTACAGATCCATGATTCATCAGTCTTGTACAATTCACAGTGCTCACCATAGCACATACCCTCCCCAATGTCTATCACCCAGCCACCCAATCCCTCCTACCCCCCACCACTCCAGCAACCCTCAGTTTGTTTCCTGAGATTAAGAATTCCTCATATCAGTGAGGTCATATGATACATGTCTTTCTCTGACTGACTTATTTCACTCAGCATAACACCCTCCAGTTCCATCCACGTTGTTGCAAATGGCAAGATCTCATTCCTTTTGATGGCTGCATAATATTCCATTGTGTATATATACCACATCTTCTTTATCCATTCATCTGTCGATGGACATCTTGGCTCTTTCCATAGTTTGGCTATTGTGGACATTGCTGCTATAAACATTGGGGTGCACGTACCCCTTCAGATCCCTACATTTGTATCTTTGGGGTAAATACCCAATAGTGCAATTGCTGGATTGTATGGTAGCTCTATTTTCAACTGTTTGAGGAACCTCCATACTGTTTTCCAGAGTGGTTGCACCAGCTTGCATTCCCACCAACAGTGTAGGAGGTTTCCCCTTTCTCCGCATCCCCGCCAACATCTGTTGTTTCCTGACTTGTTAATTTTAGCCATTCTGACTGGTGTGAGGTGGTATCTCATTGAGGTTTTGATTTGGATTTCCCTGATGCCGAGCGATGTTGAGCACTTTTTCATGTGTCTGTTGGCCATTTGGATGTCTTCTTTGGAAAAATGTCTGTTCATGTCTTCTGCCCATTTCTTGATTGGATTATTTGTTCTTTGGGTGTTGAGTTTGATAAGTTCTTTATAAAAGATTTACTTTTATAAGCACATTTCTAAATGTATGGAAATACTGGATTTCCATAATAATCCATTTGAGGAACAGATAAATTTCTTTTTCCCTGAGCAATTCAACCAGCAACTAATAGCCCATATTGGAGAAAAGGAAAAATCTAAACACTTTCCCAAATGTGTTTCAATTTTATGATCACTTTCCAGCCTGAGTTTCATTTGTGGGAAGGGAGAGATTAACCACTTCTCCCCATTCATTAACCTCATAAAGAACAAATTTTAAATCAAATAATACAGACCAAACACATAAAACACAGCTACATTCTGCTTCGCTTCATACTTTGTTCTCTTCCTTGTCTGGCTGCAAAAACCCTTGCATGATTTTCATTGAAAATAACTCCTGAATTCACGTGAAATTTTACCCTCCTTTGAACCTGTACCAGCGTGGTTCAGCTATGTTCCCGTCTACTTTCTTGCTGTTCAGGGGATTAAATTGCCACCAAGGATAAACCAGGCAGAAAGTCCTTAGATGTTAGGGCTAAATTCTAATTTACCCCCCTGTGTCTTTCTTTTATCATCCCGAACATGTTTG